GTGTATAATAATAGTGTTATATCTACACTAGAAGAGTGTATTATAATAATAGTATTATATCTACATTAGAAGAGTGTATTATAATAATAGTATTATATCTACATTAGAAGAGTGTATTATAATAATAGTATTATATCTACACTAGAAGAGTGTATTATAATAATAGTATTATATCTACACTATATTTGCCATATCCATTGGCAAGGACGTGTTTTGATGTATTTAAGTAGGCACAGAATATTCATAATTTAATATGAAAATTTCTCTAAGTTTCCTTTCTTTTGATTTATTTATTTCAAGATAAAATATTAAGAATTAATCAATATCTTTAAAGTGTATTGGTAATTTAATAATTTCAATATGAAAAAAAATAACATGTTTCAAAGATTTGTTTTATGGAATGATTATTTTTTACCCATTTTTGATTTGTTCCATAGAAACAAGTCTTCCCAGCATGTGTATGGTGTCTGAGGTGTTTTTTTTACTCATCACAGTGAACGTATATTTTTGTATTAATGTTGTCATATGTACAACATTAATATTACTAATGCATTGTTCTGGAATATGTACAATGGATAAGCTATTTAAAATAATGCTAGTTAACCTATTATCAGGGATATGGATGAGGAGTGAAATTCCCCCCAAACCAGTCTGACTCGGTGTGAAGTGAAAAATTAAATGACTGGAATTCTCCCTCATTTTGCCCCCCAGTGGCACAGTGGTATGTCTGTGGACTTCCAACACTACAAACCAGGTTTTGATACCTGGGGCAGAGCACAGATAGCACTTTGTGTAGCTTTGTGCTTAACTACAACCAACCAAACTCCCTCATTTCTCTATCACTGAAATTTTCAGTTTTGGTGATGTTAGAAGAAAGAAAATGACATTACCTTAAATAGTAATCTGGAAGACTAAATTAGTAACATCAATCCTTCAAAAACCTAAATAAATTTTAAGTTCACTGCTGTGAGTAAAGTACAACTCATACTGTGCATACAACACAAACGACTACTGAAAAAAAAGGTCAAGTTTTGTTGTTTGATTTGTTTTACAATACAAATCATCATCATTTGTTATTACAAGTAATATTTTCCCTATCTAAGATCTTATAATAAGTGACTAAGGCATGTTTCAGTACACTTGATTGTTTTCATGTTGTCAACATGAGTGACATGAGAGAAGTATGCAAAAACTGTGTTTTGTTTTTGTATCTAAACTGCTATTGTAAAAAAACATCTAGGTTTAAAATTTACCTTAACTGAAGTGGTAATAAGCTTTATAAGTAAGTGTCTAAATTTTTTTTTTACATCCAGTTTTTGTTTATCGAGGTAAATTAATGATGATAAGTTGTTTTTAAACATGTACTGAGACACTTAAATTGAAACTAAAAATGATAGAAATATCACTAACTTACTGGTGCACAGTCTTGGTCCTATAACCACCCTAGTCAATATGATCATACGAGATGTTAATCTAGAAGTGAGAACATGTTGTGAAAATACAACGATAGTTTCTTAAAAAGACCTATATCTCCAATCATAGTAACAAAATAAGCTTTATTATCAAACTTTGAATCCTTTCTTTAAGAAATTAAAATCAACTTCTAACTGTCACTTCGGGTGTATTTGTATAGAGTTAAAGCCTTTTTTCCTAAGTCAGTAGTTATTAGTTCTGTCAAGTTTAATATTTGATCTTTGCTGCTGAGTACGTTAAAATGTTGAGATTCCAGCTTATCTTCAATCTTGTATAATTCTAAGACCTTTATCTCTTTCAGCTTAATTTTTGGGCAACATGCAGCTGTAGTGAGTTGATTTAACCTCATTGTTAGGCTGTTTTTACAGTTCAGTTAGATATTAGCACACCTTCTTGTCCAAGTACTATTACTTGGCTTAATCTTTCAGCCAGCATTGCATCCTGGTTTAATCCATAACACAGTGCTACAACCAGGTTTGATGCCTGACCAGTGCTGCATCCTGGTTTAATATTTGCCTAGCTTAATCCCTAACCTTGTGCTGCACTCTGGCTTAGCTTCTGACCCAGTTCTCCAACCAAATTTAATCCCTGACTCAGTGGGGTACTCTAGTCTAATATTTGACCCAGCACTGCACTCTGTTATGATTTTTGATCCTGTTTTGGACCCTGGTTTGATCCTTGACTCAGTTACAGCATAGTTTAATCCCTGACAGTGCTGCAACATAGTTTATTCCTCGTCTCAGTGCTTCAGCAAAGTTTAATCTTTGATATTATGTGACCATCTGGTTTAATCCCTGATCTGCTTCTGCACTCTGATTTAATTATTGACTCATTGTTGCAAGCTTTTTTAATCCTTGACTGAATGCTACAGTCTGGTTTAATTCACTGTAATCTTGTTCTATGTTCTGTAGACTTGATTCAGTGTTGCAGATTGGATTAATCCTCGACTGATTTAGTTCTTGACCAGTGTTGTAGATTGGTGTATATTACCACATGACTTAATCTTTAGATTGCATTACATTCCAATTTTGTTATTTACAGAGCTCATGTTTAACATCTATAAATTAATAAAAGGCTTTTTCAAGTTTTGAATTACTATTTTTGCTGAATAAAGCTGAGATCACAAGTACATGTTTCTTGGTAAATAGTGTCCAGTGTTTTATTTACAATATTTATTTAACTTTCTGCTAGCAATCTGTAATAACTTGAATAGCATACACAAACACAAGGATTTTTCTATGAAAAACGTTTTGATGGATTTACATTCTTTTCTTTAGACTATTTGCAGACAGCAGATAGGTTTATGACTTAATTAACTGGCCCTCTGCTGTTTAGTGTGGTCAGTTCTTTATGAAGTGTAATGCAGGACAAGTTAGTTACAAAGTGTGAATGTATCATTATGATTTATCAACTGGATGAAAAAAATATATATATTTTGAAGACAATAAATATATGATTACTTTTGTGAAATAAATTGTTTCTGTAATGCAATTTTTTTACACATACATCTAAAAAGGGTTAAGGTTGAAGTATGTCAGACCGTGATTTGGTGTTACATAGTAAGGCATTTCTTCAAGATTAAAAACATTTAGTTATCTTCATGATATTATTTGAGATCCAACTGATCTGCTCTTAAAGTGATGTAACCTAGAAAGTTAAGCCAACTTATTACAGTTGCTAAAAGTATTTTATGACACTATGTATTTTAAATACTTGAATTATTGTTAAGTTTTATGGCAGTACACATTTGAGCACTTTAATGACAGTGTTACAGATATTATGATACTACTTATTCAAACACTTTTTATAATGCTACATGTTTGAGCACTAGAATTATAGTTAGTGTTATAATTATTTAAGGCATTACACATTTGAGACTTGTATAATTTGAATATGTTATATTAAAACTGCTTTGATCATGCAAATCAGCAACTCATGACAACCTCGGTTCATGTAAAGAGGCGGTGAAATGGCGTGCATCAGAACTACAATTTGGCATTGTTTGCCATTTTGTGGGTAGTGTGACACCACCAAAAATGGATTTTTGGGGGGGGGGATGGTATGTAACAGTCCTTTACAAAACAAAATATTCTTACACTCAGATCATAAAGATGTGTTCAGATTGGAGATGTAGAATTTCCAAGATGGGGATGTTCATTTACTTGAAAAATATAGGAATGTGGGTCAACTTGGGGCACCAGGAGCATATAGAAAAACATACTATAATCATACCTTAACTGTGATAAACAAGGTACAACATATTGTAAGAGAAATCACTCTGAATTATGTTGCCTCTAACACTTACAGCTATTTCTGCTGTTATTGGTCTGTAAAAGTGGCACAAGCTGCTTCTACAGTTTATTTGTTTCAACTATTGCATATGTCGAGCAGCTGGAGAATGAAACAGTTATTCATGTTATTCTATACAAAGATATACTAGTCAATTAACCATATGTAACACTTCTGGTTTTCTTTGTGATTGGACTGGGCAACTGTTGTCCTTGTACACAAGTTAGTTTATGGAAAGCATGCAGAGAAAAGGGGTATGCTTTAAACATGACAGCCTTAAAATGTAGTGTTTTGCAGTGGAAATAACTATACTGCAGAGCTGTTTTCAAGGTGCATGATAATCAAACAGAGCATGACCAGACCTGCTGACATGGACTGTAATGACATTTTGATGCTTAAAAGTTGTTTTAATGTAGCATGCGGAACACTTCAAGTGAGGAAAGTAGAGCTGTGATCGGTATCATAAGCATTGTACATCTTTGTTTTCCACTTGGCAACAGAAATGATTTTGTAGAATGTTTGGGATTCTGCCTCCATTTTATAGTTCATTTACATTGTTAAATAAGAATGTTGGAATTCATATATCATCCAAGTGATTGCAATTAATTTGCTTAATCAGGTTCACACCAAACAGTTGCTGTTCGAGAAAGTTGCACTGGAGATCGTAATGTGTAGTTGATGTAGCATAATAGATTCTCACTCGTGGGTTCTTAGAATTTCAGTACTGCTCTAGATGTGCATGAATTAATGATAAAAAAGTATAAAAACTTTTTGAACAAAATATTAGTACAAAAGCTAGGAGTCTAGTCTTGGTACTTTCATGTATACTTTTCACTCGTATACAGAGTCTTCTGAGAAGAAACTTGTGTTATTTTAGCTGACATACATGATATTATGTATTTTTCACTAACAGTTGTATATGTTGTTCTTTCTTTGTATTTATATCCTCACTATCCATCTGTCATAATTGTACGTAATGTTTTCTGAGAAGACTACAGTTGTAGTAATGATTGAAGTACTGTGCTTCTAGGAAGACGAGGACAGTTTTAGCGAGTCTAAAAGTGATGCAGATTTTGAAGCTGCTTTAGAGGAAGCCCAGAATGCTACACCACCATCAAAGAGTGAATCAAAAAAGAAAAGTAAAACAAAGAAAAGTAAGAAAAAGAAAAAAACAAAAACAACGGCTAGTTTTCCAAGTTCTGATGCAGAAAACGATGGCTATGAGGTGAGATTGTTATGTATCCTTATTAGTGAAATACTTGACAGATTATATGCAGGCTTAATAAAAAAAAAAAGTAATATTGTGCTGGAACATTCATTAAACATATTATCATTAAATACAGAATTGAATCTTGCTTGTGAGACTTGTATGTCAGTGAATATTTTGAGGTATTTTTGGTATCTTCTACCTTATTAAGTTTAAAATAAAAAATCTACTTCTCATAGAGTGATTATTTCTTTTAGTTACAGACTTTATTTTATCAGTACAAAATTTTTCTGTTTAATTTTGGGAGACATAAAAAGCAATGATGGGATGTGTTCAACCTTAAACTTGTTAACCTTGTCTTTCTAGACTGACCATCAAGATTATTGTGAGGTTTGCCAGCAAGGGGGAGAGATCATTCTCTGTGACACCTGTCCTCGGGCTTATCACCTGGTGTGTTTGGACCCTGAGCTGGAAGAGGCCCCAGAAGGGAAATGGAGTTGTCCCCACTGTGTATGTATCAGAATATTCAGGTGGTTTATTTTGATGGGTGGCTAACCTTGGTATTGAAGATTGAACAAGTTAAAAAAAAAATAGTATTGATTTATTACTCCTTACCCCATTCTTAATGATTTTAGATTTGGTAATGGATTTATGCTTAAAAGTCCTCAGTTAAAGTGGAACTGGTGATAGTGTTTATAGGTGTCATAAAACTATTGATTTAGACTTGAAATCAGTTTCTTTTTTTTCTTATCTTGATTCACCCAAGTTAATGAATAGGAATGGATACAGAGTGTAAAATAAAACAGAAATAAGAATTTTAAATCTGTAATTTGTAGAAAAATCAGTGCTTTATAATAAAGTTTTTTTTTTCTTCTTTAAAAACAGATAGCATTAATGATGTATCTGACAGTTTGGAGTAATAATGGATTCTGGGTGCTTTGGTACTTTTCATTGGGTTGGTAACTAATAACAGTGCTGTAATTGTGGTGGGGACATTTTTTACCCATACAGGAGGGAGAAGACATTCAAGAGCAAGACAACGATGAACACATGGAATTCTGCCGGGTATGCAAAGATGGTGGAGAACTCTTGTGTTGTGATAGTTGCCCGTCAGCATACCACACCTTTTGCCTGAATCCCCCTTTGAAGAACATTCCTGATGGAGAGTGGCATTGTCCTCGCTGTTCCGTAAGCCTCTAAATAGCTTTTATAGTATTGGCTCATATGAACTAATTTATTATTTTCCTGTATGTGTTAAAAAAAAAAAGGTACATAGCCCTTCACTTTGAGGGCTTTTGACCCTTTGAGTGCAGAATTAAATTTCGGGTGGGTTCTTGAAAAGTGTCAATTATCCACTAAAAAATTAAATTTAGAATTTAACCTTTTTTAGTACTTTTTTGATATCAAAATCCACTAGTTGAACTTTTGTCTGGTGATGTAAACACGTGCAGTAATAAGGTGGGAAATTAAGGACGTGTGAGTATCTCGATTGTCGCACTACGAGGAAAAGTTTTTGTGAAACCTTGGGGTAAATTCGCTTGTTGCACCAAATGCCTATAAATGTCAAGTTGGATAAATCCAGTAATAGCATCAAAAGGGTTAAACAATGGAACTTTAAACTTTTTTTAGTTTCCAAAGAAAGCAGATGAGTTCTGGCAACATCTTTAGTTGCACTGTCTATTTCATTATTTTTGCAGTGATTGATTCAAAATTTTGACTGGAGTCATCATGGCACGTGAATGGTTCCAATGAGTTGGGGGAATTGGGAAAAGTCAATGAATTTTTAATTTTTTTTCACAGCTTGGGAAGCATCGGGCAATTTCATTTTACAGACAAGAACTATGAAAAGTTTGTGAATTTCATGTAATTCAGTGGTGTTTCTAGGATGTGGATTCCAAAAAAAATATACATATAATTACCACAAAAAAATAATTGCATAAAAATTAATTCTTGTACATTTAGCATATCATTATGCCTGTTTTATGCATAAACATTGTTTGTTTTTTTTCTGTTGTTGTTTATCGTTAATTTTTGTGAGTATGAAGGCAACCATAATAGATTATGTAAACAATAACTGTTTATCCCTAAATGGAATGTAAGAACTCTGGACAAGGCTTTGTGTTGTTCTCTTAAATGTCAATGAGGATTGTTTTACCACAGCCTAAAAGCCCTTAACAAATTACTATTCAGAAATAAGCTGTTTCTATTTAAAACGTTATTTTATCTTGCAAATTTTACAGGCTTAATCGGATCAGCCAAATTTGTGACCCCAAATTGACCTTTATAGTTTCCATACTGTAACATCTATGTTTTGTGTGTATGTCTTCACGTAATTTCACAGGCTTTCACTAATCATTAAGAGTCATTGGTAAACAAGGAATCAGAATATATAGTCAAAGTGTTGGCTGCTGCGTGTGCAAAGTGATTTTCTTGATACTCTTAAAAGTAGTTTTCTTCATCTGAAAAATCTCAGATTTCATTTGGATAATCTCTGAAACTTCATAAATAAATTTCAGATGTTTTTGTCAGTAAAACTTTATATCTTATGTTATTTTTTTCTACCTTAAATCTTTACGAGGACCATCAATTTTGATCAACCTTGTAACCACAAAAAAAAAAAAATTGAAATAAATCTAAATTTTCTTTTATTTCTTTCTATAATGACTTCAAATTGTAACATGAAACTACATGTGTTTATCCTAAATAGCTTTAAACTCGTAACATTATACATCTGTTTATTAGCGAAAAAATACAGTAAACAGAACAAACTGTCAGAAGTCTGATATCAGAGAAACTAGTTTCGACACATTTGTGCATCCTCTTCAGTCTCATATTGTCTTGTTTCAGGAGAAACTGGTCAACAAATATAGGCGTATGGCATGACTGATCGTATCGAAACCTTGCTAGATGACTTTTAAGTAAACTGTGACTCGTAGTATACAGTCTTATTGTCTTTATTAAACAATACATAAATAATGTTTTTCAGTTTCACGTATTATTGTAGTTGATAGTCCAATGATACATTACAAACATAAATAAAATGGAGAATAGCATATTTTGGTTTGGGAAAGGCCTACAAAAAGTTAGAGAATTTTAACTCTTCCCGAGTTGTGGAAATAATGCACAAATGACTTAAATTTTACTCCAATCTCATCTTTTTAATGTTGCAGTTGCACATTTGCTTCCTTTATTAAATATAAAGGTATATATTTATAAATCAGAAATTTGAGTTTTTACATTTTCTTTCAATGTTCTGCTGAATTTTCCCCTTTTTTCAATAGTTAAGAGATTTTTAATTTTTTTATTCTGATATAGCAAACACTAATTAAATTTTATTCCTACTTCTGGAATTATGGTAATCATTGAATATTTGTGAATTGCCGTAGTCCACGCTTCTCTTTGGGTTTAAAAATAAAATGTTTTGAATAATTTTCAGTTGAACCATTATTGAAATTTAAGAGATGACTTGCTGGTTAATCTAGTTTGAAATGAAGTGAATAAAATTTGAAAACTTTTGTTGAATAATTTTTATGGTTATTATAGGTTTATTGACTTGCATAGATTTGTGGATGGAGCAGTTTATTTTCCCTGAAATTCCTTGTCTTCCATGTTTTGGAATTGGGAGTTTTCTAAAATATTGTTTACCTATATTCTTGTTTTATAAAGGACATTTTTTTTTGTTCAAGTAAGATTATTCAAAAAATAAAGACATTATGAATGATTGAATACACCTTCTGGTAGAGAACCTTAAAATCTGTTTTGCCATGAAGTTGTACAGTGATGTTTGTTTATGTATAAACCTAACCTACACTAAGAATATATGTTGTTTTATTTTCACTGTACATCTCTATCTTAGTTTTTCATAAACTTGCTATTTGTGTAGCGTGGAAAAGCTGTTCCGTGTGGGAAAGATTTGTTTTTTTACCTTTTTAAGGTGGAACCATTAAAAGGAAAAGTGAGTAAAATCTTGACTTGGCGATGGGCTGAGTCTCCCAAGTCTGAAGGTGAAGAACCTAAAAAAGAGGAAGCAGATAAAGATGACATTCCTGCAGCTCAGCCATCCACAAGCAAAAAAATTCAACCTAAACCAATGCGAGAATTTTTTGTCAAGTGGTCAGATATGTCCTACTGGCATTGTTCCTGGGTGTCCGAACTACAGGTAAGACTTGCTCTTGTACAGGTAAGGGTTGTTTCTGAGTGTCCAAACTACAGGTAAGGGTTGTTTCTGGGTGTTTGAACTACAGGTAAGAGTTGTTTCTGGGTGTTTGAACTACAGGAAAGAGTTGTTTCTGGGTGTCCAAAATACAGGAAAGAGTTGTTTCTGGGTGTGAACTACAGGTAAGAGTTGTTTCTGAGTGTCCAAACTACAGGTAAGAGTTGTTTCTGAGTGTCCAAACTACAGGTAAGAGTTGTTTCTGAGTGTCCAAACTACAGGTAAGGGTTGTTTCTGGGTCTCCAAACTTCAGTAAAGAGTTTTTTCTGGGTCTCCAAACTTCAGTAAAGAGTTGTTTCTGGGTCTCCAACTTACAGGAAAGAGTTGTTTCTGAGTGTTTGAACTTCAGGAAGGAGTTGTTTCTGAGTGTTTGAACTACAGGAAGGAGTTGTTTCTGAGTGTTTGAACTTCAGGAAGGAGTTGTTTCTGAGTGTTTGAACTTCAGGAAGGAGTTGTTTCTGAGTGTTTGAACTATAGGTAAGAGTTGTTTCTGAGTGTTTGAACTATAGGTAAGAGTTGTTTCTGAGTGTTTGAACTTCAGGAAGGAGTTGTTTCTGAGTGTTTGAACTTCAGGAATGAGTTGTTTCTGAGTGTTTGAACTACAGGTAAGAGTTGTTTCTTTACGTTTTTGTTTTTTATGAATATCAGGTGCCTGTTATACAACATTTACTTTGTAAATACCATATAGACAGCGATAGTCTATAGTCAGTGCTCAAAGTATATTGTACCACATGTGGAATAGTTTAAGAGATTAATTAAGAAGCGAGTATTATCAACTTAATACTATAAAACTTTATTTCACGGTTAGTTTCTTGTTTTGAACCTATGTTCAAACTTTGTTGATCTTCCAGTTAAATTAATTACTATTTTACTTGTTCTTTTCTTCTATTACATAAAACAGTAGCTAAATTGAAGTTTTATAGTAAACCTGGGGATTGTAATTTGTCATCAAACAATACACAAACTTTAAACTCGCAACACAAAATGTGTTTCCACTAATGTTTAACAACATAAGTTTAATGCAGTAAGCCTGCCATGTTTGTCTGTTGACTTGTGGAGCTGAGGGTAATAAGCACAAAAGTGTGGTATGTGAGGAAGGAAAAATAAAATCTTTTTTAATTCCTGGAATAAGTTTTAATGTAGTATTTTTTTTAGATAAGAAATAAGCCTTTTTTTTTAATTATAAACTTACATTTGTGGGTGACTAATTTTAGCTTGAAAGACATTGTGTTATGGATTAATTACCTTTCTTGCATGATGGATGTTTAAGGGAATTTTTATTCATAATATGAGTAATTTTTGAACTAGTTAAGCTATTTTTAGTAGTGTATTTACTTCCAAGCTATGTTTTAGCAGATTGCTTTCATGAAAAATATTCATTTTTGTATACATGAAGCTCAGGTTATATATAAAAGCGGGTTATTTCTAACTTCTGATATATTTGTGTGACAGACAAAGTTTTTATTTTGAAATGTAGTTAAATATTTTTCTTGCACACAGTTGGAGGTTTACCATCCATTCGTATATCGTATGTATTGTCGAAAAAATGACATGGATGAACCGCCACCTTTGGATGACGGGAGTAGCATTGATAATTACAAGAAGAGGGAGACTCCGCGTGATGATCCACACAATCTAGAAGAAAGATTTTACCGCTATGGGATCCAGCCAGAATGGCTACAGGTTCACAGAGTTATTAACCATAAGTAAGCTCAACTTATAGTTAGGAAAAATAATAACCTCCTTTGATGCCTAATAAATTGATCAATTAGAACAGCTAAACTTCTGCTCTCTTGAGAGAGTTGAGAGTTGGTAGTGGTCTTTAAATCTGTCATTGGGAAAATTCAAAACAGAACTTGTTATTTACAATTGCATTTTGAAGATTGACAAAATTATTTGTATTATAAAATCATCAGTTCAATATCTAAAGCATTTTTAGTTTCATTTTCTGAATAGGTGGCCAAAATGATTATGCTCGTATTCAGAAACAGTGGCGGAATGTCGTTTTGTTGATACAGTTCTGTTTTAAGAAAATTATTACACTTGGAGATTCGTACATTTTTAATGTAGGTTGTATAGATGGAGATTGGATATTCTTTTAATTAACTTTTGATTTTGATAAAAAAAACTTGTGTTACTTTATAAAACATAGTATCAGCAATATAACAATGTGTGCGCTACGTTGTAAGTAAAGTGTGAGAAGGTTGTGTTGTAATGTGATGCAACCAGGCAAGATTGATTGGTGCTGCACGTGAAAGATAAGTCGTGTAAACTGACCTCTCTTTTTACCACTGTAGGGTTCATGAGAAAAATTAGGTTTCACTTTATTTAAAAGTATTAATACTTGCTAAGTATTTCTTCACTACTGAATGTTATTGATAACTCAAATTTTTGTGTGAAAAAAACAACCTAGGAGTTAAAATCTATAATTACTTAAAAATTGTTCTCAATGAGTAGTGATCATTATATGTGACGGTCTAGTTCACATATTGTTTTAGCTTGGGAAACCATCCAGATGTAACAAATATTTACTCTGTTGTTGTTTTTTTACTAAGCACAGAGACTTGTATAAACATTTTTATGAATGGCATTCTTTTTATTAATTGTCTCTAAAGGCCTAATTTATCCCACTGAAATGAAGCACCATGTGGTATGGGCTGTTAGTAGTGGTAGAAAAAGATTGTACCACTCATTAAGTACTATCATTCAGGAATGCTTAACAAGTAGTTAAATGTTTTTATTAACTTATCATATCCAAATGCTGCAAATATCTAGTTTATTGGCCAATAAATGATTTTTTTTTTGTTAATTTACTCATTCGTCACAGTTTTAAAATTGTCGAAACACCATAAAGAAGATTGAAGTGAATTCATAATTACTGAATATATTGTGATTGGTATTTAATGGTTAGTGACATTCAAGTCTTTGGTATTAACAGGCAAGAGTCCTGCCAGTTTTCATTTTTAATGTGCAATGATGTGGAAACTGAAATATGCAGCGTAGTTGGTCATAGTGTCTTTTAGCAAACATAATGCTGGTTTTGAATCCTTCCCAGTCTCAATTTTGTAATTTGAAGTTGTCAGAAACAGTGAAACTGTATACAGTTTTTAGATCTTTTTTTCTGATTACATAAATTTTGTGGCTGTGTTATTGCTTTGGTAAAGATGTGTTTAAACTGATAATTTGTGTATGTGTTTGATTCCCAGAACTCTCAAAGATGGTCGTACCAAGTACCTTGTTAAATGGAGGGATCTACCTTATGATCAATCATCATGGGAATTTGGTGACAATACTGGGGAATTTGAAATTCCAGATTTGCAACAAGCAATCGATGTCTACTGGGAACTCAGGTGAGCTTCAGATGACATATTTTGGAAATGAATGTTGTTGCTATTACAAAACTGTAGGAATAGTACAGATTTCTTAAATGCATGATACCTGCTTAATTAAAAAAAAAGAACATGGAGGTTTTGTGTGAACCAAAAATATAGACTTTTGATATAATACATCAGTTTGAACCCAAATGAATCATTATTAGTGTATGTACATGTGTCATTGTAAACTCCAAGCAATGACTGGATATATTCATGTAATTACAAAACCTTATTTTGTATACTAAAATGAGTCATTACATATCTAAACGACTATGGATATGTAAGGTGTCTGAAAATAGTGATGTGTATAACACAAGACAGTAATAGCAACAAACATGTGGTTTATGGTTATTCAAGAGCATATGTATATGTTTTTTTTTTTCCCCACACACTAATTACTATCAGTACATCTCTATATATGCTCTATTTGTGACACCCTAACAATATTGAGTTGATTTTCCATTTTCATCCATGTGTTGGCCAACATATAGGGTGTAACAGTAGCTAATTTCATTGGTGGTCCATTTCATGCAGTGTTCACAGATAAATCACCCTTGTCCTGTAGATGATATCCTTCACATAGTCCCAGAGACAAAAGTCCAGACGTGATTGGCCCATCTCATTTCCTTTCTTGTATAATGCTCTCTCTGACTCTTTGAAGCTGTCAGTACCTCTTCTTGATAGAATTCTTAACTGGAGGAACGTTTAAGTACACCTTATGATATGTTCTTTGTAATAGAATAGATTATTTCATCTCTGCTAGCCACAGGATGCACATAGCCTTCTCTTTTACCATGTTAGTTAATGATATATTGGGTTATAAATGATTATAAACTTATTATGGCAAAAAACTTTGTACATGTCCTTCATCCACCACTAACTGTACATTCGTAAGTGTATCTGTATTGTACTGACTTAAGATTGTAATACGTCATATAATTTGAGACACCTTCTATTTTAACTCAGTTTTGGTATATTTAATAAAATATTTAACCCCAAAAAGTTAACAACTGTCCAACAAAAATATAACTTTTACATGCTCAGGCTTTTAATAGAATAAGCTATGAAAATATTATGTTTAAACAGATATAAAAAACGTATGTAATTTACCTGTAAGTAGGATTGAATAAATGGTGACATATAGTCATCAAATTATTACATTTTAGGCATGAAACGTACCACTGGCTGTTATTTAGTTTCCTGTAGGTGAATTGTTGTATACATACACATATCAATTGGCAAAACTGTAACTTCTTCCTTAAATCACAGTAATATAAAGCTTAATTTACCATGGATGATTTCACAATATATCATATTTTGGTACATATTACTGAAATTAACATTAAAAGGAATGCACATTTTTTTCTCTAATAATGTTTTTTTTTATTATGTCAGTTGGTATAACCACTTCAACATCTGTAGAATTAGTAAACATGAGTTATTTTTTGTACGAACTGCCATGTAGCTATTTAGCTAATTGTACTTCATATATGCAAAAATTAAGATATCAAAAATAAATCAAAACATTTTGTTTTACAAAGACTTTTGTAACAGTATCACTATCAAAACTTTGTGGTCATAAGAACGTCACATATTTAGTTAAATATAAAAAAATGCAATGCTTATTTCTTACAAAGTGTACTCATTACAAAAAGTTGTATGTTTATTTAATGATTTAGTATACCAGCTACCACCTGTTTGTTTAATGATTTAGTATACCAGCTACCACCTGTTTGTTTCAGCAGTGGTAAGAAATCAAATATTGTCAGCCAAACATCATTTTCATAATTGTTATTTCAGTGTACCTTTCATTTCTCGAAATAAGTATAGACATAACAAGACTTCTGTAATAAAATCACCTGCTATGTTAGCTAATATTTACTGCTTTTATGGACTATGAACCAAAGGGACTGTTTATGATACCTTTATGTACGGGTTACTGTAAACCCCAGAGGCTGGTTTGTGATATCTGTACATAGGTTACTAAAACCCAGTCCCTGGGGTTCAGTGATATCTGTACATAGGTTACTATAAAGTTCATTATATAGCCATGTAATTTGATTTATTTACATTTACTCAAAGCAGATAGTTCTTTTGTCTTATCCTGAAAAATTAGTATTAATGAACCATGATACTTTTTAATAATTTTAGGTTCATGTCACAAAGGTATTATTTGACATTGTTTCTATCGAGAATTAACTGTTTTACTCATTAACACATTTTATTATTCATACATTAAAACCCTTCAATCAAATTATTGTACACAGACTTTGGAAAAATTGTTTTATTGATTTCATCTTAAGTCCAAGTTACAAGAAAAAGATACCATGGCTAGATGCTGGAGATGATAATAATCCTTTTTCAGACATCTAGAAATTGTCCCTGCTCTTGTATAACATCATCAGTGAAGTAATACACTTTAGGCTAAACTCATTATCACATATTAAAATAATAGGAAAATAGTATTCTAAATGTATGTTTGTACTTGATGAGGTTTAGAGTCCGCTTTACTTCACCGTATAGTAACCTAAATTAATTGAGAATAATTATATGACATTTCATTGAATTCATTATTCATAGGGTACTGCCAATCAAAAAAATGCATTACCCCCCCTCTATTCCTAGATTCTCTTTTCAATTTCACATGTGGTGAAAAAGAAATCTTTCACACACACACACATACAGTCCCTAATGCAGTTCTCTTGCAGTTATATACTCAGTGGAGTTGATTATTGTAAACCTTATTAAACTTATACTTTGCTAACACAGGTAATAATACTTATCTTTCTCAAAGTAGGACAGTGAATGTAGATATGTTTAGATACAAACATTTGTAGTTGGTAAAATAATTTATGGTTGATGTGGTAGAAACTTTTTCAAAATACTAAAACATTTATGTTTTAGAAATGCTGCAGATTTAGGCTTAACTTTGGAAATACTAAAATGTTTATCTTGTAGAAATGCTGCAGATTTAGGCTTAACTTTGAAAATACTAAAACGTTTATCTTGTAGAAATGCTGCAGATTTAGGCTTAACTAAGAAACCCAGTAAAGGAAAAGGCAAGAACAAGAAATCTAAAGATCACATACATGACGAGAAAGAAGACTCAAGACTATCCGAGAAACCTAGAGAAAAGCCAACAATAGATGTAAGTCAGCTTCTATGTATGCAGAGGTTTTAGTAAGTTAACAGGTTCAAATCACCGAGATGTGTTTTGGTTCAATTTGGTGAAGGACCATCTCTCCCATGCATTCTTACATCACATAAAACATTTTCATTTCTATTGAAGATTTTTTAATCAAGGTGCAATAATAAATTTATATATATATGTCGAGAAAATCTTTATTTTGACTAACATATTTTTTATAATGCTGTAATAAAATCGTAATTCAAAGAAAGTATACTGATTAGCTTCGCCACTGCATTGAGTTTGACCCTAAAAATATGTCGCCCCTACATCCTGTGTTATTTTTAACAGAGGTAAATTATAAATAAAATAAGAATGTGCATCTTCTGGTAAATCTTGTTTAGGTGGAAGATATGAAACCAGTGTTTATAACAAAACTTCTGTCATTACAAATGTGGTTGGAAATGTAGCTCAACTTATTTATTAATGATCGATACCATCTTCTATTTTGGAAGACAATAAAAATGAATGAGTCCTTTTACATTAACTCAATAAAACCTTCAGTAAACAGAGATTCAGGATTAGAGGTAAGTAATCTTTGGCTACCATTGGTTGAATCTACAGAAGTCTCTCCACCAATCTGAAACATGGATAAACCAACCAATCATAACACGCCCTTCACAATTCATCAGAATACCTGTAAAGACCAACAACACCAAACACACACGCACACACACACACACACACACACGCACACACTGACCTGAAGACAAAAGGTGGAAGACCTTCGAAATGTCGTCCTCTACACTTGTATTTCTACAACAGGCAGTTATCATCTATTCATCTAAATTTTGTTATTAATACTCTACCTAAACAATCTATTAAAGAATACCATCTTCCTGCTTAAACACTCTCTTAATGTCTCATGGTTCACCATGAATTGCTGAAACAACATGTTTGAGAGTTTGTAAGAGAAACTTACTATGAGGTTCATAAAAACAACTTATTTTCAGGGTTTATAAAAAAGCAACATATTTGAACTTGTTTCTCAGTCCTGTTAAATTTAATGTATAGATGGCATTTATTGTTGAATACAGATTTGTTTAATATGAACAAACTTGAAGAATATGACAGTAAAAAAAAACTATTTCTGTTTATTTAAATTTGTAGCCACGGAAAAAATATGAAAAGCAACCAGTTTATATTGACGTTACTGGATGTGAGCTCCATCCGTACCAGCTAGAAGGTGTAAACTGGCTGAGATTCTCTTGGGCTAATAAAACGGATATTATACTGGCTGATGAGATGGGCTTAGGAAAAACTATCCAGACTATTGTGTTTTTATATTCCTTGTTTAAAGAGGTAAGACATTTGTTTTGTAAAGTCTGTTGAACATAAACCAAAACTGTGAATGTTTTTCTTTCATTTATATAAAGTTGCAAAGTCTTTCTAAGTGTGTTAAAGCTGTGTGTGTGTATCTATGTATATGCACCTGCACACACATCTCTATTAGTGTGATAAAATAATGTGTTGGAAAAATCAAAATCTTTTGGTAACAGAGTTTGTCAGAATTTTTTAATCAACTTTTAATTCTGCATTCCAACATTTTTTCAAAAATTGGAAAATTTATATATCTTTTATTATCGTAAAAGAAGCATTATGTGTTTGCAAAAAAGGTTTTGTACAATTAGATTTTTGTTCTTAAGCTCTCTTATGCTTAAAAATAGAAGTAGTATGATAAACTTGTTAATATATTCGTTATTTCCACTGCCGAGTTGTGGTAGCAAGCCAGGAACACTTATTAGTTGGAATTCAAGTACTGTAACATTGCTTGATTTCATGAATTCTTTTTTATTCTTTATTAAGGAGATCTTAACATTGATTAAGGAGGTGTTAATACTTCTTGAACTTCCAGGGTCATTGCCGAGGTCCATTTCTCGTCGGTGCTCCGCTTTCAACTATAATCAACTGGGAGAGAGAGTTTGAAATGTGGGCCCCAGACATGTATGTTGTGACCTATATTGGTGACAAAGACAGTCGAGCAGTGATTCGAGAACACGAGTTGTCTTTTGAAGAAGGAGCAATTAGAGGTGGACCAAAGGCTTCAAGACTTCGGGTAAAGTTTTGGCTGTGTTTGATTGTGCTGTTAATCTAGAAAGGTATACATGTTGAGTGACTCATAATTGATGCTTATGTGTGTTTGTGTTAGGTGAAAAAAATAGCAAATAAGATTTGATGTTAGTACTCATAAAATAATCTAAATTGCATCTAACATTTTTAGAAGGTACAGATGGTATGTGTGACCTTTAAGATGTGATTATTACATTTTTGAAGACACAATTATAATTGTTATAGTAACTGAACTATATCATTATTGTTGGAATGTTTGCCTGTTGAAGTGGATGTGAGTATTACATTTTTTTGAAGACACAGTTATAATTGTTATAGTAACTGAACTATATCATTATTGTTGGAATGTTTGCCTGTTGAAGTGGATGTGATTATTACATATTTGAAGGCACAGTTATAATTGTTATAGTAACTGAATCATATCATTATTGTTGGAATGTTTGCCTGTTGAAGTGGATGTGATTATTACATATTTGAAGACACAGTTATAATTGTTATAGTAACTGAATCATATCATTATTGTTGGAATGTTTGCCTGTTGAAGTGGATGTGATTATTACATATTTGAAGGCACAGTTAAAATTGTTATAGTAACTGAATCATATCATTATTGTTGGAATGTTTGCCTGTTGAAGTGGGCGTGATTAGTACATTTTTGACACAAGCTAGTTTTAGAGTTTTTTTGAACACTTATTTTAACTTCTACAGTTTAAGCAACATTTAACTGTATAAGTTGTGACAACTTTTAATGATTAGTAACAGTCAAATGCTCATTCATTCCTGTGGGATATAAATAAAACATCATTAGTTTCTATGCCAGCCACTTTAGAGTAGGTTGTTTTAAAATAGAGATATTGCAATATTCATTTTGTGGCTTAGTGTGGTTGATTTCACTATGTTAAGAACTTTTCTTGTTAATTGTTAATTTTTTGGGAAGGATGTGAAGAGGACACAAAATCAGCTAAGAAACTCTCAATGTGTATCTTTGGGAGCATGGAATTCCTGTAATTCTGAATGAACATTGGGTGTTGTTAAATAATATTGATTTTGCTACATGTAGTGAGTTCTGTGTGATATATTCTGTTATTTATTTGTAATTCACGTGAATTTCTTAAATAATGTGTCTGTGTTTACAGTTTTCCTTTTATTTCTACTTACAGAAAGATTTCCCTGTAAAATTCAATGTTCTGCTTACGTCGTATGAACTTATCAGTATTGATGCTGCTACATTAGGCTCTGTAGACTGGCAAGTTTTGGTTGTGGACGAAGCTCATCGTTTGAAGAATAATCAGTCAAAAGTGAGTATAGTTTTTACTTTTTTGTTTTATTACTTTATATCTCTGTGCAATATCGTATACAAAATCTTTATTTCTTTGATGCTAAAATCAACTGGATACAATATTGTGACCATGCATTTAACACCCGCATTACAAGCCAGCCCAGCATCTTGTAGTACAAAGACTAGGATGATCAACAGGGGGGTCATTCCCAGAAACCATTGATTTAGGGTTCTTTCAATAGATCTCAATGAAAAGAAGCTCAGCACAACTTCTAACACACAAAAAAAAACAATTAAATATTAATATAAATATGACATGATGAAATTATATGGATTATACTATTGTGGTACCATACTGGGCATTATACCAACCTTCTTATTTAGTATTGGCATTTTTAATTTAACAATCACTAGGGAGACCATCTTGTAATGAATCATGCATCTACTGCAACACTACATCTGTGGACTTAACTGTGTCATTAGTGTCACAAAATATTGAAACTTATGATTTTTTATATATGGTTTCAATCCCTCTTTTTGAAGATAAGGATACTATTGTGCCCATTTTTTTTTATGTTTCACTGTAAATGCAGTAATCAATTGACGTATCTCTGATTCAGCTGGTATGTCAAATTGATAGGGATATCTTCAAAGAAGTTCTTACCTAATCCGACCTGAACCAACAGTTTAGATTAATCACTACACTTAAACCACAAGTACATCTGGAACACCAAGAGTTGGTGGTGAGTCCTGTTGATTAGCTAGAATAGTTGAAGAGTTGGTGGTGAGTCCTGTTGATTAGCTGCTATCCCTCTGGTCTATCAATTTAGGAAAGGTTAATGCCCTTTTAGAGCTTTACAAAAATATCCAAAACAAACACATACTGTAAGAGAAAAACATACATTATTAATTAGCTGCTAAAATGAAAGATTGTTTTAATAAAACTTTCTGATATTCTCCAAGTCTGTGGTAGTGGAGTTTGTGCTTGTTGTTTGAAATGTTCCATTATTGTTTTAACTAATCCATTTTTTTTTAAATGATAATACTTTTTTCATTTCACTTTTTACTGACCCGTTTCATTTTATTTTCATGTTTCAGTTTTTTCGAATTCTGAACTCTTATAAAATCAACCACAAACTGCTTTTAACTGGAACTCCACTTCAGAACAACTTGGAGGAACTTTTCCATTTGTTGAACTTCATGAGTGCACAACGATTCAAGTTAGTACACAGTTTTATTATCATATGATTCATCTATACTTGAAGACTCAAAGAAATTCCATAAAAGTAATTTCAATAAACAGTTTACTATTTTTACAAACTTGTCTGTACTGACAAGTGGGTTGTATAAAACTAGATTAAATGCTAGTGGAGGAACTCAGTTATGAACATCAAATAACAAGAAATTTCTAAAATTAAACTTTTTAAGAGTATAATAAAACACTTTCTACAATCACCCTATGATACAATATGTTGAGTATTTTGTTGTTTTTTTTAGTGACTTGCAAGGGTTCTTGAATGAGTTTGCAGACTTAACCAAAGAAGAACAAGTTAAGAAACTCCACGATCTCCTTGGCCCGCACCTTCTGAGGAGACTCAAAGCTGATGTGTTAAAGGTATACTTCTTATATTATACTTGTTAGCTTGATGCGAGGTAATCATATCTCTGTTAGCCAGTTTCCAATTCACACGTAAAGGAAGACAAAATATTACTCTTGCAAGTTCTAATATTTACCTTAAGTAAAAATGGTGCTCAAATCTTTATACATAACCCATGCCATTTGTATTTTTTTTATCTGTTTCTTCATAGTTTTGTCAACTGTATCTTTATGCTTAGCTCTTCAGAATACTGCCACCTCTATCTTTGTGTCCAGCATATAGTCGTGCCTTAGTTTCATTTCATACTTGTTTTTAGGACAAAATTGTGATTAAAAAAAGATGTGTTATTCAAGACCCTGTCCTTGTTGGGCTGGGTGTGGCCTTATGGTTAGTGAGTCAAAACTGTGCATTGAATGCTTCAATGTTTAAGATGTAATGACACAGGACATGCTTAAGATTTTCATTTGTAGGTGCATTATAAAAGTGACAGTCAATCCCATTATTTAGTTCATAGAGCCAAGTGTTGCTGGCTAGCTGCTTTCAGTGAGTTGTTCAAAATTGGGGATGGATACACCTGAATCTTAGGCATTTTTGTCTTGGCTGTTTAGTGCGTGTGTTGTTTTGATTTAAAAACCCAATGTTCTTTAACTTGTTTGGTTGACATGTTTATCAAGCAACAGATTTGCAGTCAGTGTAATCCACCTAATTATCAATTTTCTGGACAATATTTCTTGCATTACAGGAGTTTTTATTGAAATTCTGTAATCGTAACATATAATGTAGTGTAAAGAAAGCCAGTTCTGTGTGAGAGGAAATGATTTAATAACAAAATATGTTTCTATATTACAGAACATCCCAGCCAAGAGCGAGTTTATTTTGAGAGTCGAGTTGTCGCCAATGCAAAAGTAAGCAAATGTCACTCGGTGAAATTTAGCTTCAAAATACAAATATCTTAATATAGTTTTATTATAATAAAATGTGGTAAATAAACTGTCGTAGAAGAAACCACTACCTTATCATGTTAGGATGTACTGAGAACTTGGAGTACTAGTTTCACTGGAAGTTGTCAGGCTAGATATTAGGGGTTTAAAGTTGTATTCTTTAAGCTTCATTGTATTAATCAGATACATATATTAAGGCTTTATGTCATCGTACATTTTCGTATTAGAGAAATAAAAGTATTTAGATATTTTTCTACTTTTTAACTCGTAATGAGAAAAAGTTAGGTTTTTAAAGAAAATCAAAATGGCAGTTCCTTAGAATAATTTCAAATTAAAAACATTTGAATTTTTTTTTTTGAATGGAAATCCACATTTAAATTTACAGTGATTGCTAACTGTTACATACATACATACATACCCTTTTGTCATTCTCAGGAAATATTATAAATACATCTTGACTCGTAACTTTGAAGCCCTAAATGCCAAAGGTGGAGGCCACCAGGTGTCACTGTTGAATGTCATGATGGACTTGAAGAAATGTTGCAATCATCCGTACTTGTTTCCTGCAGCTGCCCTTGTTAGTAGTCTTTTCTGTATATTGTTAGTTTTGTGTTGAAGTAAAATATTAAACGAATTTTGTAAACAGCTAATCCTTATTATAATGTATAAGTTGATGTACCTGTCCTTTGTCCAGGTTATAAACTTAAATAAATGTGGGGGTGACTGCTATGATAAATAGTACAAAAATTCTAACTTTTACACTATTTATTTATAACAAAATATATTATTACAGTATTCATTATTACCACATTAACAGTTTTATATAAGCTGTAAGAACTCACTATATTTATACTTATAACATGGCATATACTGTGCGATGGTCAAAGTCACTTTGTACGAAAAGGTAGTGGCAGTAGGGGGGCTTTCTGTTACCCACTTTCAACACCCAGCTCTTAATGTCTTTCCACACTTTTTCACGTTTTTAATTAATTGATGGTCATTGGCTGCAGAAGTGTCTTGTGGGATGAAGTTGTAAGGTCACGGGTCAAAGTAGGAAGCGGGTAAAACTCGAGAAACAGCTCTTCATATCAGCATTATGGTGGCTGTTGTAGTATAAACTTCATCTAAGTTTATGTATTATTGCAATAGTGGCTGCCATTTGTTTTCATTGCATCCCTCCATAGAGAGTGCTTGCTCACTCTGCAAGGTATCTAAGACGTTTGTGTGCAATACTCCAATAATGGGGGTGTAAGGGGCTGTGACCCCCCCCCCCCCAAATTTGGTTGAGATAACAGACAGACACAGATTTTTGTTGTTACCATGTTTGTGATATACTAAACGTATATTTTCGGTTATTTTCAAAATAATTTGTTTTAAACCAAGAATGGTTAATAGGATACTTGAAATGTGATATATGAATACAGCAATTTCCTGATTAGTTGAAAGAAGAAAAAAAAAATCCATTACTTGTAATTGATTAAATTACGCATTATAAAATAATAATTAACTTCCGTTTGGAGCATTAATAAACAACATATAGCACTTGTATACTTTTAATTAAAGAAAACATGTGCAAAAACTATTGAGATGTAATTGGAAAAAAACAAAGTATATTTTGTGCAGACTTATTTTACTGGATTTATGAGAATGATTCTTTATTTAGTCATTGGAGTGAGGAGTTAACTTTGTAATGAAGATTAACATGTTGTTACTATGATGGTGGAACATTTGATACATAATGTAAATTTCTTACTGTGTCATTGTTAACTTCGTGGTCCAATTTTTTACTGTGTCATTTTCATCACATGGTCATGCCAAGTGCTGGGCTTATTAATTCTTTCAGCATGGGCTCGGTCCCTCGGATCGACCTCATAACCATTTTGCTAGTTTTCATGCTATAACTTTTAAATTAGTAAGCGCAATGTTAACGAAAGTTGGAAGATTATCAGTAAACATTACAATGTTTTCATTCACAAAATATCAAATTTTTTTTATTAAGTCTTAAGGTTTGTAAAGTAATGTTTTTCTCATGTCTTTTTTTTCTTTTCGCATGTTCTCTATCTATCATG